GGCGGAGGAGGGGGAGGAGGAGGGAGGGAAGGAAGGATGTAGGGAGGGAGGGAGGGAGGGGAAAGAACTGATAATTTCGAAATGACACGTTTTATTTATTAATCGTAAGTATATATCGGAAGCGAGGAAAGTTGGAATGTTTTTCTTTTTTACTGATAAGATCGCTTTTAAGAGTTTAAGAGTTCGAGTTGGCGTCTCTCTCGAGTAATTGCGCAAGAAGAATTGTACAGGGGCGATACGTCGCGCGATTCTTATCGCATTTATACGCGTACGATGACTCGCGCGAGCGCCAGGTAAATGCGATTACAACTATAATGGTTACGAACACATCCGCGTAAAGTGGCCGCGTGACGCTCACGTGGAGAATGCCAGTGCTTAATGGCCGCTCTATGCTACTAATTGCTCGATCGAATACGATTACACTCTGGCGGAAACGCAAAGCTAGACCATCCGTTACGCATTCGCATTATCGCCTATGAGTTGGCCATAAAATCGTACCGCGAATCGAAAGGATCCGCTTTGTGGTTATCGGTCGTTCTCGATTCGATCGATCGATCGATCCTTCCTCGTGTCCTCTCGTACGTTCTACGAGAAGACGCGGCAGGTCGAACGTAGACTCCTCGAAATATCGCAGACGTATAAAATTGTCGTGACGACGCCGGCGCATACAAATAGAAAATAGAAATGAGTTTAGAAATAGCGTTGCCAGTCGTCGGCCTAGAATTCGATCGGTCGTAGCCTACTGCGACACTGTTTCGGCTTACTTGGAACCCGTCTCGTCTCGTCTCGTCTCGTCTCGTCCCGTCTCGTCTCGTTTCGTTTCGTTTCGTTTCGCGTCGTTGTCTCGTCTCGCCTTGTCTCGACTGGACGAAAACATTATGCGTATTCCATCGATCGACGAAACAAAAGCAAATTTTAAATTGCTCGACAAATGGAAGGAAAATGGAGAGAAATTTGCACGGTTATTCGCGATGGGACGTTGCGTGGTTGTGACGCGATTAAAAGCACCCTGTAGATGGTCTGCAGACGAAGTTACACTTCCTTGAATGCAGCATCCTGCCGGCAAAATATTGACCGGGTAATTGAGCAACCGCACACGGTGCGGAACGTTGATGGAAGAGACAATTCTAGCTCGCTCGAAACTTCCTTCCTACGTAGAACGAACGAGTAAACGCGAATACTACTGGCATCGAGTAGAAGTTTGCACTCGGTAGTGGTTTCATTCATAAAGTCACGCATTTAACGAGGAAAAGACGTTTGCACGCATCAAGGAGAGAAAAGCTTCGATGCAAATCTTAAAAACCTTAAAATTCCACGCCGGAATCGTTTATCTCGTTTCCGTCCAAGATGCATCGTCGAGGGGGAGACGATTTCTTCGAGAGAGAGATCTCTTTTGGATTCGAAATTGCAATTTCGATTTTTGATTCGATCGACGATTCTAACCGATGGATATAAATATATATATATATGTGTATATATATCCATGTATATAAATATATATATATATATTTTTTAAAACACGTACGTATAGAATTTCGGCAAGCAAACGCGATACGCGTAGTCTTGGATCTTGGCTTTCAAAGTACGCTGACCCTTCAAGCATGGGCGGAACTCCTTCGCTTCCGGTGTTGTTCCGCCACTGCTATTTCTATACATGTACATAGAACCGCACGCATACTTCTCCTCGCGCACCGAGCAAACGAGCCAACTATTTCGACGAATCGAGCGGTTGAAACAATTTTATATAGCGATCATCTCGAACAGACTCGTGTAAAATCATCCGCGAGATGTTTAGAGAAGCGTACATATATACATATATATTTGAAAAATTGAGTCGAGAATAAAGATGAGATTTAATCGAATCTCGTATACCTACGAAGATGGCATAAAGATTAGAAGCGAATCGCGCGATATCGGAACGAACGTCGAAGCGCGAAGGATCGAGATCGACGACCAGGAAGGAAGAGAAAGGAAAACGAAGTCGAACCGAATGAAAAACCAACTATCTATCTACTGAAATAACTACTGTGTACTCACACGGATACTCTTCCCGACGAAGCTGGTCACAGGTTCCTCGATACTATCATGGACAATATTTATAATACATTTCGATTTATTCGACGTTACACCTATTATCTGCTCTCTTCGTTTGTTCGTTTATTTGAGAAAGATAGCGTTGGTAAGCGATAGTATCGTACAATTGGCATCTTCCTACGACTTCCGGTGTTAGCTCGAGGTCGATGATTACTTTTTGTCGAAAGTTCGTTGCCACGTGGGAATGGTGGGAAGGGAGAGAGGGNGGGGGGACAACAGAGTTAAAAGGTCAGCCGGATCGTCCCCACGAGTGAATCGTATCCGTCAGAGGATGCGAAGAAACGGGATAAATAGTAGGCAAGTATTCCGGCAAAGTATCGATTAAACAACTGTCGCGCATCTGTCGCTTCGATTTAAAATCGAGAGAGAACGAACGAACGAACGAACGAGATGATCGGACGTAGCTCCAAGTGTACAGAAGGAAATTGAACGAAATACCGGAAGAAAGAGAACAGAGAGAGAGAGAGAGAGAGAGAGAGAGATGGTAAAAAAGAAGAAACGGCCAAGCGGCGAGTCCCAGAATATGCAATGTGGCAATTGTTACGTAATAACGAGTACACACGAGAGGACAGAGATGTAGGGGAGAGGGGAGGCGATAGACGCAAACGAGAATGAAAAGGGCAATGTCCAAGGGGGATGGTAAGAGAGGTATATTGGCAGGATCGTGGAACGAACGAGCACGCATACGTGGTCGAGCGAGATCTACGAGATGGTAGTCGGAAAGTAGAATGGGAACGATACCGTTGCGGTAGCACACAGGCCACGCGGTACGAGTCGCGAAAGCCGTTAAACGGGAGATCGATGTCTCTTTTTCTCTCTCTCTCTCTCTCTCTCTCTTTCTCTCTTTCCGTCTTTCCGCCTGTTTGCGAAACCACCGTGTATCAACACTGTCGTTGCGAACGGATTAATTGGACGCGATTTCGTTGGCGGCGCGTCATCGTGGTTGCGCGTGGTCGCGTCGCATCGCGTCGCATCGCGTCACATCGCACGTGCGCCACCGCATCGGAGACGCTTGGGGCAAAGTGCATCGTAAGACTGCTGACGGGTGCAGCACCGGTGCTTCGGCTTTCCGATGCAACGCATTACCCCTTATCCCCTCGCGTCCCGTTTCGTCGCCCCTCCCTCTTTCGCTCGACCGACCGTGCGCACAACGACGAATAACGCACCATGTGACCATCCCTTCGACTTTGCCAAACCGATTACCGCACCACTCTCGGAGACCACCGACGTTTCCTCCTCTCCTTCTCCTCTCTCTCTCTCTCTCTCTCTCTCCTCTTATTCCTCTTTTTTCGCCACGACTCGCATCTACCGCTACTTACTTCGCTCGCTCGCTCGCTCGCTTTCTTGCTTACTTACTTACTTACGTGTCCATCCCTCCTCTCCTTCCCTCTTCTTTCACCTTACGACTATTTTCTCTCTCTCTCTCTACACACACATACATATATATACCGCATATTTCTCTAGCAACGTTCGTCCTCTCTTTGTTCCGAGGCGTCTCGTCTCCCCCCCCCTCTTTTATCCACGTTAGACATTGCCATCCAGCCTTTGTCGTCGCCTCTCCGTCCCTCCGATGAGAATCGCGCGTCAGCCCCTGTCTCTCTCTCTCTCTCGCAGGCTGGATTCTGCCGAGCACTGCGCCATTTCTATACGGCACGGAGCGGCGCGGCAGGACGCGACGCGGCGCGACGCGACGCGGCCGTATCATTCGTTCTCTCGCTCCGATTCGCTGCTCCCGTGATACTACTCTTTCTTGAATACCGATGCGTCTCTCTCGGTTCCCATCCCCACCCAGCTACGACCGCCGACTCGTTGCACCGGGAAACTGAGCGGTGCACCGGTCCTTGTCGCTCAGCTCCATTCATGCCTCGATTCTCTTTGGGTTATGCAACTTGGGTGAGACGGGAGGCGCGAGACGCGAGACGCGGGACGCGAGACGAGGATTGCGTCCACCGTGCCGATACTGCACGCTCGTTTCACCGAATCTTACCTCACCGCCAACAGCTTGGCTAACTCGCCGGACTAACCTTCCTCCATCCTCGCTGCGCATCGAGTGTTGTGCTCTTCCTATATCGAACCAACACCGGGGAACTTGACTTGTGCGACAATTGCGCAACGATCCAATTTTCCCCACCCTCCTCTTTGTCCATTTAAAATTTTAGTCTCTCGCTCTCGAGATACCGTTTTCTACGACAACAGTCTTTTCCTCGGGGGCGAGAAACGACGGATAAAATCTTGTTAAAATTTTTACCCTCTAATTTTTTTACCCTCCGTAAAATTCCAATTTTATTGCTCTTGATACAAACAAACGCTATGTTCGAAACTTGTATCGCGCGTAAGAGTAATAAGAAATTAACTAATTAACTCTTAACGTTATGATTCCCGGATATACGGTTTTACGATCGAACAACGTGGATATCTATCAACGTGGATATCTGTCGATCGTCCGTCTAATAACACTCCCTATCTCGAGAACCTTCCCACTTTTTAAATTGTCTATACGGTATATTAATATCGATATTAACTATATATATATATATATATATATATAAGTAGTAATCGGTTTACAGTTGGGAGAAGGTTTCCAAAGCGCCACTTCGCTCGCGAAGTATGCGACCACTGAACTATTGTATTTTAAACGCGTTGCTTCGATACAAAGGAAACGACGATCGATTTCTTCTCCTTTTCTCTTAGTCTCTTAGTCTTGGCTCGAGATCCAAACTTTTGACTAAGGATCGTTCGTTTCGGGGATATAGGAACACCTTACAACTTCTACTATCATATGTATACATATACGTATACTGTGCATTATTCGATGGCACATATATACATCCCTTTTTTCTTTTTTCTTTTACTTATGTTGGAACGAGTTCTGCGCTTCTCACGTGTACAAATAACGTATGAATCTCTTATATCTACGTATGAATTTATTATGTACGAAAAAATAGTATTTTTATTTTACAAGAAAGTGTTGAGCGCCGAGCGTGAAACGAAACATGATCGATGAGTATTCCGTTACCTGGTGCGGTACTACGGTAGATCGATAAAACTAAATAGTTGGTAACATGGAGAAGAGCTCTTCGTTACGATTACTCGTTTTTGGTAGAAGAGAAATATTATACAAAGATGGCAAGATGGCAGTTGTAAACTTATAGTTACATATCTAATTGTATTAAGGTAATATAGCGACGCGTCGATTGTACTGTTTTACTCGTTCCAGTTTTCGAGTCGATCGACAAGAACGACAAACCGATCGGATAGGATATAGAATTATAATGTACGTGCGTGCGTCTATTATCTAACATGTATCAAACGATTGTCGTGCGAAACACATTTTCAGATTGCGACGTTGCTCGCGCGTTATTCGCGGGAACAGAATAATCCCCGTTCGAAACAACGAAAAAAGGAAAGAATGAAAGAAAGAAAGAAAGAAAGCTATACAAGTGGAATCTTGCGTAACGAAATTACAGGCGAATCATCGTTAACCGTTATGAATTTTTGCCCCAAATACAAGATTCAACGTCTATTCGATCCTTGACGAATCGCCAATTCCGATATTTTCGTGTCATCGCGCGATATTTCGTATTTACCGATGTAGAACGAGACGATAAGGGGCGAAGGGAGAAAAGGGGGAAGGGGTAGAAACGATGATTGTATCGTCGCATCAAATTCGACTTAGAACGTTGTAAAGCTTAATCGTCGTAGATCGTCGCCTGATTCATCTATGATAATTGACTCTCGAATCGGATCAACAAAGACTAGACTGTTGGAAGACACAGTTGGATAATTTTGACGATAATTGGGACACGCTAGCTTGATTGAACTAGAAACATTTCGCTCGGCAAAAAGCTCAGGTTTGTTGAACCTCAGCTTCGACCGATACCGCTATATTTCGAAAGAGCGGCGATAAAAGACAAATTCTTAGGAATTGCTCGAGTTAATACTTGAAAAATAATAATACGCGTCGACTTGCGAACGAACAAAATCGATTTTGGCATTCATTCTGGATGAACGCCTCTCAATTTCGCACGACCAATCGTTTTACCCTAATCCGACGTCTAGGGACATCATTACCAAAAAGCCAACGATGGCGGCCCAGCTGGCGAGTTTACCGTTTCCACTGTAATCAGAAAGAAAGAAAGATATGTTGTCTCAAAGATTGAAAAAAAACTGATGACAAGACGTACCGAACACGCTCTCCTTCGTGGGATTGGGTCCGTTGGAGGGACGTGAATGGACGTGGAGGAGGTGACTTGTGGACGCATCGACGATAGACCAGCGATTAGCTCGACGGATGTAAGACGATGGAAGGTGCGAAGAGGGGAATACTGGAAAAACGGAGCGGAATACGTGTACGGGTCCGTCGATCGAGGATGGACCAGGTATAATCGGGGAAACGAGGATCCGTGGAATACGCGGCAGGATGGCGAGAAATAAAAAGGTTATCGCGATATAAGTAGGGATTAAGTACACACAAAGCACACACGCTCGTACCTGGTATTACACGTCACGGCTTGTTGATTTCGTAAATTATACACGGCCATCAATTTTAACGGCCGGTGAAATGCGCCGTTGTGTTTCGGTGGGCGTTCTACCACATCAATCATATCCGCGCGATGAATACCTCCTTTCGGCCTCGGAAATTTGTATTTTTATCAGCCATTATAACCTTGCGCTCCCAACGATATGCGACCATCTCGATATCCACATCTCTCCGCGAAATATCTGTCGGCAAGGATCGCGCGTAATACACTTTCGACTCTGCGAAACTGCTACGAAAACGAAAAATTGAGCCGAGCTTTCGATTCCTTTTCCCATCGAACAATCGAATAAACGAAAATCGGAAACGATGATCCGATTCGAGAAAAGATGATCGATCGGCGAAAATTATTATTTTACGTAAGAGAAGGGTGAATCGTCTCGATCGGTACTAGCAGAGACCTGTTCTTTCCTTTCTTTTTTAGGATACCGTGCGCATGCGCCGCTACGAAAACTAATCGATTCTCGGATCTCGCAAACTTTCTCTCGTCCTTATCCTTTTGCGCTTCTTTTCTTCTCGATATCGCTCCATCTTCCAATTGGAAGAGCACGCGCGCACGGGCATGCGCGTTTATACCGAGAAACTCTACTCCGTCCAGTTAGACCGGAACGCAAAGGGAGCATTGTGATTTCTCTCTCTTTTCCCCCCTCGACTCTACTACTACTCTTTTCGAAACGATCACACGCGATGCCCACGAGTGAGAGACTCAGGAGAGAGAGATTGTCGAATCCTGTTGGAGGTCTAGGAGCGACCGTTTACAGAGGGACAAGAGGGCGAGATTGCGTCACTTTTGTGTTTCCCGAGGGAGCCAAGTTAACTTCACCGTCTCAGGAATAGTGAGCGAACGCGTTTATACGTCGAGTCGGGTATCCGGGCAGGGCGGTTAGATCACACGCGAAATACAAAAGAAGCCAATTATAATGACAATGCGTCTTCGACTAGGCAGCCGAGCCTGGGAAAGAAATTCGCCACGTCCGTTTTGCCGACGCCTCGCTAACTACGCTACTGCCGTCACGCGCCATTGTACCGTAATCGTTCTCGAACATGCGCCGTACATGCGTCTCTCTATCTTCTCTATACGTCCGCGATGCGCTATTCCTTTTGCCTCGTGTTCGAACGGTAATACATCGGAGACGGAGAAAGATAGGAATGCGAGGGAGGGAGAAAGAGAGATTTACGTATTCTTATTTCTAATCGCTGTAAAAATGCGCCAGAGAAATACGACTGACCTTTGATGCGCTTCCGGAACAATATCGTCGATCACGACATAGATCATTGCACCGGCTGCGAAGGCGAGCGCGTAAGGTAGCATGGGTTCAGCGAACGTCACTCCGGCTGCGCCAAGGACGCCGGCCAGAGGTTCCACCATCCCCGACAGTTGCCCGTACCAGAAACTCTTCAATGTGCTGATTCCAGCCGCTTGTAGGGGCAAAGACACCGCCAATCCCTCGGGAAAATTTTGAATACCGATTCCGATTGCGAGGTTTCTGTAAAAAAAAAAAAAAAGAAAAGAAAAGAAAAAAAAAAGAAAAAAAGAGAACAAAGTAGTCGAACGGTATGGTAAGTTGCGTGAAAGAACTCGTTCGTACTTGGCTCTATCGGCGGACACGTGGCATGAAAAATAAACATGCCCGCTTTAACGAGAGCCGCGTATCTCGATTGCACGTTAAAAAGAACAAAAATAAGGAGACGAGGTGATTTTCTGCGAGCTAACTTGAGCCGCGGATGAGATAGGTACAGTGTACACGTGACGCGTGATACTTTTTCCTCTTACAGGAATTCGAGAGGTGTTTCAACTCTTCCTTGTCATTCTCCCGCGACGTTATCGTTTCGAAACCTTGACATCGATTCAAATTAAATCCTAATTTTGTATCGATATTCATTACGTATACATGTAAACTAATTTTTCCATATGTCAGGAATGGACAGGCAGCGAGATCGATGATGTGATCACGATCCTCATCCACGTTTGATAGACGATTCGCCACCTTCTTTCTCTCTTTCTTTCGATGCTCTTCGGAGTATCGTAGGCAGGGACAAGTTGTAACGACTTCTTTCTATACGAAAGATCAATCGTAATATAGAGATAAGTTGAACGAGAATGTACGATAACGATTGTAATTGTTTCGTATTTTACTGTTATTCTCTTATAATATAATATCGTATATTGATAAATATTTCGATAAATGCTAAATTTTTTTATAAAAATAATCTCGTAAAAAATAAGATTAACGAATCGAAAAGTTTTAAAGAAGTTTAGTTAACATCAGTTCCTAGAAATGACATCAAATTCTTGGAATTTCAAGAATTCTTGGAAATAACATCAAATTCTTCGAATTTTCGAGACTGTTTACAAACAAAAGTTTGTTTATTTACATTTTTCAATGTTTATTTATACAAAATTTCTCAAAAATTTTGAGAAATGGTCTCTGGTCTCAGACTGATTGTTTGTTTACATTTTTTGTTGTTTGTTTCGAGAAAATTCTTGGAAATGACGTCATGGAAATTTCAAAGAAGAATATAATTTAAAAAAAAGTTTTATATACTTACCTTTCATAGCATCTATAAATATCTTCTTTTCAGTTTTATTTTTTTACAGTTTTTTTTCTTAATTCTAGAGATATGTATTTATTCATACTTTTTTTGCGATATTAAATTTCTTTAGGCTCTTTGCTTCTAGAAAAAGTGTATATGTATTCAAAAAATAAATTTGTAATTTTTACGAGATTATATTCCATGTCATTTTTTCACGAAAAGATGTATGAACGATTTGTGAATTTTTATTTCTTAAATGGAATCATATGCTTTTTAATGCATAAATCGACGCATCTTTCAGTATTTTCTATAAAAAAAATATTATATAAGTCGTAAATAATTTTTGGCTATAAACGATTTAACAATTCCTTTTTCCTTTTTATAAAGAATTTATATAATGTGTTATTTATTTATGCATTAAAAAAATGATTCCAGGGTTGATTTTTATTTTCGTCTTTACGCATTCTTTAACGAGAAAAACAATTTCATCGCGCAACCTTGCTTTCGAAATCATATTTCATCGATCATTCCATTTCAGCTTTTATTCGAAATTTTCCGCTATAAAAAAAAAAAAAAAAAAAAAAAAATAACGACGTATAAGAATGCATATAAAAAAATAGCAAAAGGGATAAAATAAATACCCCGTTTTCTTTTTCGAAATATTTCAAAATCCACAAAGTTCCATAAAACGTCACGTCTGCCCCGTACCTCGTCCGAACGATCTCATCCGATCATGGTAACTTCTTCAAACTGGTCGTCGACTTCGACATTCTTTACATTTTTCCATTTGCTCGCTGACTCTCGAGGTACTTGGACTTCGAGATACGACTCGCTTCGCAGATGATCCGTTCTAGACCTCCGTCCTCCTTTTCTTATAAGCTAATCACGCTTCTCCGCTCTTCTTAACCGTCCGTCAATTTCGTTTCATCACGCTCCGCTCCTCCTTTTTACACGGATTTCTCGATGTTTACGACGCCAAGGAAAAAAAAAAAAAAATGGAGAATTTTCGTAATCATCGTAAAGCCTCGCTTCGATTAAACAAATCAAACGGTTATCGGGTTATCGGTGCGAATGAATGAAACGTAGCGATCAATGAACAGAGATCGAATGTAATCTCTGACTCGATGTAATCGAGAGAGAACGTAGCTTTGAGAACATTCTCGCAAAAAAAAAAAAAAAAAAAAAAACAAAAGAATAGAATTTAATGGAATTCAATCGAGGCGATACGTTCGAAGAAGAAAGAGGAAAGTGAGAGGAACAAGAGAAATAAGATAGGAATGAATGTGCGGAGGAGGGAAAAAATTTCGGTTGCTCTTCGCGCAACCGAGAGAAAGAACGGCGAGGTAAAGCGGAAAGACGTTCCCCGATCCGACGCGATGGATAGAAGGACGGTTAGAATTCGCAAGGAACAATAGATCGGAGATCGATGGATAGAGAGAAAGAGAGAGAGAGAGAGAGAGAGAGAGGGACGAGGTGGGTGAACAGGTGAATGAATGACGCGCGATGCACGATCACCGCGCTCTCTCGTACAGGCCAAGCGCATGGTATGGTATGCGATGCCGCGGCGTGTAGCACGTTATTTCATGGGATGGCATCGTCGTCGCGTTCCTACAGCATCGATGTATATAAGTACATAAGTGGTTGTACAGTTAATCCGTCGGGTCCGGCTGTTCGCCAGTTACACCAGGGGAGGTCACCCGAGTTCCAAGAATGATCCTCGTCCCCTTCCACCGTGCTAGCTTCACCTTCTTACTTTTCTCTCTTCCTCTTCCTATCCCATTCTATCTTTCTCCTTCGATTCATTCGTTTCCTCCCTCCTTTTTTTTCTCACTTCTTCCTACTGCGCACATTCCTCCTCCTTTCTAACTCTCTTTTTCCCATTTCTGGACCGATAACGCCCGATTCCTCCTCTATCAAACTTTCAAACGCTTTTAAACGCGAACCCGAAGTTTACAATTACAGCGCAAATTCCTATCTCGAATTCTTATCCCCTAGTGATTCGTAACTATCGGAAGAATTTTGCTTCGAGATGAGGAAAGATATCGTGCTAGATTATCGCTGCTAGATTAGAAAATATTTATCGCGTTGACGACTATTTACGGAAACTTTGTTTTCGTACGATGATTCGTGAAACGGAGAGAAAGAGAGAGAGAGAGAGAGAGAGAGAGAGAGAGAGAGAGANAGAGAGAGAGAGAGAGGCCGAGCGAAGAGGCCCATTCATAAATTTTTTTCCGCTATTACACGTTAGCGAGATCGAGCAGCGCCGCTATGGTTCGCCTTTCAAATTAGAAACGAAGGCATCCATTGCCTCGGGAATTGCGCGCGAAGGCGTCGCGCTGTCTCGTCCCGAGAATCGCTGATTTCTCCGGATGAAACGTCTTGGCAAACATTTTACCCGACCCGACGTTCTTTCAGATATTCAAATTGATATATTGGGATATTCACGGGATTCTCACGCGTGAACGTATCTCCAGATGGACGAGCCGCTAAATTTAGTAATCTATTAGCTGATGACTGGTCGAGGAAGAGAGAAATTAAGCCGCGGATCGATGGATGATCGAATATAGCGGTGTACACGGTTTCAGTGTATACCAAAATGGCGTCCAAGTAGATTCGTTGAATGCCCCGCGGTCGCCATTTTGCATTCCATAAGCAACCCGAGTGTCTTTAGGTGGCAACGCTTATCCATCGAGTTTAAAGCTTGGCGAATTATATTTTTTCCACGTTCGAGTTTCGTTCGCCCGTCGCGAAACGAAAAAAGAATCGGACGCGAGAATGCGAAAATTTTAATTAATAGAGAACGATTCGCGATCGAAAATAGCGAGAATAAGAAAACATTTCTCTTCTCGCTCTTCTCGAGACAGGACTGTTTGAACGAAAGAAGGGAAAAGAAAAAAAGGAGAAAAAAAGGGGGACGCGAGAGGATGCGAAGGAAAGGAACGATCCCGAAGGAATCGCGATGAATCTCTGTTGAAGGAATTGATCGCGCGATTGGTGAACACTACGAGATACGTGAATAGAGATAGAGCAAGTAGGTATAGAGGACTGGGAAAGAGAGAGAGAAAAAGAGAGGGAGAGAGAGAGAGAGAGAGAGAGAGAGAGTGCGCGCGCGCGCTGAAGCGCGCGGTTGGTCGGTACACCGTAAGACGCTTGGGCTCGAAAGAGAAGCGTACAAACGCGTTTGTAGGAGAAAAGTAAGGAGCGAGGAAGAGGAAAAAGGGGAGGGGGAGAGGGGAAGAGAAAAAGAGAGAGGAAGGAGGAACGGGAGAGGGAGTAAGGAATGCATGGGAACGAGGCGCAAGCGGGCCGACCGCGATTTGCCCGTCCCGCATTCCACCAACGCCAAGGCGAGTTCTCCCGACTCTTCTCGGCTCCGAGTTCCGAGGCCACCGGCCACGGCTTAACACCATAAAATCATAAGACCAAGATCAACCCCGCTTTTCTCTGCTACCTCCGGCATCGTTTCGCGCCTCTTAACGTCAAACGCGTTTGCCGATTATCGCCAACCTGTCGCCCCTTCCATTCCCTTCTTCCACGGGATCTTTTCCGCCCGAAAATTCTCCGAGAGATTCTGTCCGAGAGAAGAATTTGAATTTGAACGAGTATGGAAAAAATATATAAATAATCGGGCGAGACCGATTTGGGTCGGGTCCGGGTTGTTTGTCGAAATGGGGACGGAATGGGAAGGATCGGCGCGTCGGTCGGTCGGTCGGTCGGTCGGTCGGTCGGTCGGTCGATCGGTGGGCAGGTGTCTATCCATCGAGCCGACCACGGATGAACGGTACGAAGGAAGAAATAGGCTGTGTGTATACCTATATAAGTATGTAGTCGGTCGCGGACGCAAGCGTATAAGCATCGCGACGGTAGTTCGATCCGCAAGAAGACGGCTAGTTGGTGCGGACGATCGTCCCGAGGCCATCGTCGAGGGACATAACGGGGATCCGGCTGTTCGTCTGTTCCGAGTAAGGTACGCGATGCGCATGCGTAATGCCGCTGCATTCCAAGCATTGCGAAGTCGTTGCTTCGTGCACGCCAGTGCATCGTCCGATGCCAGAGAAAGAGAAACGAATTAACCGAGACACCGAGCAAGATCGAGAGATGCGGTGTGGTAGTAGTTCTTGATCGCTCGAGAAGAGAAGAAAGAGCAGAAGGAAGTGGCTATGACAAACGTGCCCTCCGATCGCCACCCATCTCTCTCTCTCTCTCTCTCTCTCTCTCTCTCTCTCTCTCTCTCTCTCTCTCTCTCCTTTCTTCCATCGCTCGAATCGTCCACGATCCGAGCCCTAGTAGCAGGAAAGGTTACGTGTTTCGGATAAAAGTTACTGTTTCGAAAAGAAAGATGGGAAGAGAAGAGACCTGCTCGAACGCGAAATACTAGCCGAGAAAAGCTATCGACGTGTTTGTTAGCTGGAGAGGAGAATGTCTCGCGAGTCGAGTTCTCGGAATCTTTCGGCCGTGAATGGTTGCACTCGGATCCATCTCGTAGAACGTAGAAAATCGTTGGAGGACGACGGGAGAGAAACGTTCGTTCGTATCGATTCGATCGATACGAACGAACGATCGAATTCCGCTATATACGGATAACGGGAGGGGGAAAAAAAAAAAAAAAAAAAAAAAGAAAAGAAAAAAAAAACGGAAATTCTTATCACGGAGAAGCTCGTTCCGAGGCAGCCACGTGCACTCTTCGTAATACTTCGTTTCGCTGAAAAACTAAACGGGAAGCGTTATATCGTAACCGACTTCCGTTGCTATTAACACACGTCACAATTAACTTCCCGCGTGAGATAAGTAAGCGGGAGTGCAAAGTACAAAACGATTAAGGGAACGCCATTCAAAGGTTACGTACCGTATCCGAAAATCGTCGTCGACGAGATGTAATCACGACAACGATTTCTCTTATTTGGGAAACGAGGAACGAAGGGTTATCGTGTTTGTAGTTGCGATGTACTATGTGGCACAGGAGGGGGGAGGGGGGAGAGAGAGGGGAGGAGAGAAAGGACGAAATGGTAGAGAGAAAAGAACGGATAAAAAAAAAAAAAAAAAAGAGAGAAAAATAAAGATGCGAGCGAGGACAGAGAAGGGCCGTAGCGCGCGGTGAGCACTTGTCGGTTGGTCGGTCGGTCGGTATATAATAAGACAGACACACGAAGGAGGATATAGGATACTGAAATAAGGTGGTTTCGTCGGCAGCTTTGTCTGGCGCCGTGTTTAACATAGCAACACCTCATCTACGTGCCACGCCAATCCACCGCTCCGTAGTTCCTCTGTTTTTACGCGTGCTACAATTTCTCTCGCTTTCACTCGCGCTTTTCCTTCTCCTTCTTTCATCTATCAAGGTCAAAATACGATCAAAACGCGAAGAAAAAAAAAAAAAAAAAAAAAAAAGAGGTGCAAATTACAGTCGATTATTCGGAGAGACGTATCCTTCGACGAATTCCGACGAACGTTCGTCGAGCCGAGTTGAATGAACTTTTTCTTTGTCACAAGGTTTAGGATACTGTGTAACAGATCGCGAGAAAACACGGTGTGTTGTGACGTTTCAGGTTGTGACGAATTTCAAAAGAAAAAAGATAAGAACGAGAGGAGATTCCGGGAAAAATTCGCATACCTTGGAGGGTGACTCAGTACCGGATCTCCTTGAACGTTTTACGAGTGCAAATATCGTTGCTCCTATCGGCTGCCCGCCTTTCCATCGTCCTTTTCTCTTTTTCTCGCTCTATTTGTCCTGTCTGCTTACTCTCAACTATTCCTGACGTGAACGGCCGTCCGCTACCGATCAACCAACCTTTCATTCATGATTCTTTCGCCGCCTCTGGAATGGAACTAAGTACTCTTTTTCCATCTTCAAAAGAATGAATTATCTTTTCCTTGAAAAGGACGCGGAGCAATCGATTCATCGATCGTGAACGCAAATGGATCCGTTGCGCAATAAAACCCAATTTCCATCGCAAATCGTTTCGATCACCATTTTTTTCTTCCTTTCCTTTGACTGCCGCTTATTATGCCGAGCATGCATCCAATATTTTAGCCTGTTCACTTCTCGAAAATAAGCTTCTCGAAATCGCGTCGCATTCTTCGATCGATTCTCTTCGTTGCTTGAAAAATATTTACCTTTGGTCATTTTTCTCGAAGGAAGATCGAAGAAGATCGAAGAAGAAACTTCTTCGACGCGATAATAATGTACGAATTAGTGCGTGACGATATGCATGCCTCCGATATGTTGACCGGAGTCATCTTTCGAGGACCGAGACGACGACGACGATGGCGACGACGATTCATTCATAACCGGGAAACGATTTGCGCGATTTATCATATGCAATCTTTTCTTTCTTCTTCTCTTCGAAAAGTGGGGAAAATAGTTTACCAGCAACGATATTTTACTTTGGGATCCAAAGTTCTTTCGAATTTTCACCGATGGACCTTGTTTTTTCCAAAGCCATCGTGTATCGCATCGTGTATAGTCGTTGAAGAACAAAGAGAATTCGCTCCGTATTTCTCAACTATCGCGTGACAGAGGGAAAAAAACGTCGATATAGGCCGTTCATTCGAAAAAGACTCTAAATATCCATTGTATGTTATATAAAAAAAGAGAAAAGAGGAACGAACGATAGGAAGGAAGGATGGAGATACGAAAGTTGGCGATATCGTCGAAATTTTCTATAAATAAAGTTTACGTTATTCGGATAATTGTTTGATAAAAATGAAATCAATGTCATACTATTCGATCTCGTTGTAAGTACTACACGTCATAGCAGGCGATGTTCCAAAGTCAAAAGCGTAAGGCAGTAAGGAGAGCGAGTTCGGGAGAAGTCGAAGAGGAGGGAAGAAGCGGGGAAAGGAGTATGGAATGGAATGCGCGGCGCCTAGGGCTCGTTGAATTCCAGGGCCACACGTGCCCTTCCCCCGCGCAACAGGCACCCACTGCTGCCAATAAACTTTGCCTGCGGCTGGCACTCGCGACCGACCACCATAGAACTCATTCATGGGGACCTCCTAGCACGCGCTCGTAACTTGTGTATGATTCTCCGTCAATGGTGCTACCGTCTATCGGCAACTCGCTCAACTTCTTTCTAAATTACAGCCATCTAGGAGCGGTACGAATCGTTCTGATGTGGCTCAACATTTAACGCTGTACGCTAGCGTCACTTATTGTATACGAATAACGCCCCTTGTTTTTATCGATATCCGAATCCAAAAAATTATTTTGAAACGCGCGGAAAGAAAAGTGAAACGCGATACGAGAATATTTTTCTTTATCGACTACAGAACGCTAACTCTGAAACGAGTATTTTTAAATAAATGTACATATATCCATTTTTAATGAATCGAAACGATATGTAACGTAACTCTCTAAACGATTCGATTTGATCTTCTATAATGAATCTAATAGGCCCGATTGATCTAAGTGAACAATTTTAGATGCTCACTGTATCTAATTGAAATATCGCTACGTAACTTATATATATTTTATATATATACATATATATATGTATATCTATATATAAATATTTTTATATAATCCGTTAAAAAAGTTTTTTTTTTATCGGATTAAAAAAAGACATATCCACTCGACGATGTTGAATCTTAATGCGTTATTTATATGGAATAATATTTAAATTAGAATCTATTCGTGAATATTTTCTAGAAGATGGTAGAATGATGAGCGTTGCTTACCTTGCATTTTCAAAAGTTGCTGATGCACTGTTACCTACTGCTGCGAATCCTACTCCAACTGCAAGACCTTCTGGAATATTGTGTACCTAATAGTATATTGCAAACATTTTGATTATTATTCCTCTATATTTTATTATAATTTTATTACATTTTAAAATACTTGATTAATTTACATACCGTAATAGCAACAACCAATAACAAAACTCTTTTCCATTGATTGTTTCTACATTCGTTGTTGGGATCATCGTAAATTGTGCCTATTTCTCCTTGCTCTGTTGGCCTATTTATATTCGCAATTTGGCGTCTTCGGGTATTTTGCTCATAGAAACCTGAAAAGTGCGACGATGATGTTATTAACTAATATTATAGCTTGATCTTTTGGAAGATATTTAAACATTACACCAGCAATGTGTATATAAGCACATTCTACTCTTTCCTTTTTCTTATTATGACTTTGGATTAAGGCTTGGTAAAACTTATTATATTTTATATTAATACCCGGTATTTTCTATTAAAGTTTTTGTACTTCTTGTCTATTATATTTTAAATCCGCAGGCAGGATTAATAAGATCAGTTTTATAAGTTATGGAATATTTTTTAAACACGATCGTGAAAAATTTATGCATGTCGCTGTGATTATATTTGTAAGAAAAAATATCTTTTATTTTTAAAAGTGTTAATAATATGTTAATAAGGTATAATAGTAACCAGCTATCTAAGACTGCTTAATAGTTTAGCTGATAGTGCAACTGTTATGTAAATTAAACTTTTTTTAGATTCTGCAATACGTTTTGTATGATTTTTCATCAGATAGAATCGAGTTAACTTCGTTCAAACTTTGATTTATTAGTGAGATTAATTTTTGATTAAAAACATGAACAACAATAGTAGTTAAAAAAAAGAAAAAAAAAAGAAAAATAAAAAAAGTAAAAAAGTAAAAGTTGAAGAAGAAGAAGAAGAAAAAGAAGAAGAAGAAGAAACTATTGTCTTTAAGTAATTGTCTATTATTAAAAACACGTGATATCAGAAAGTGTTATAAGCATTTGAAACATATTACGTAAAAAGCAAATTTATCTTGATATTATGATATAAAATATTTAAGCGTGTCTATAGTATAAATTTCATATACATAAAAATACAATGAACGAGCATTGATTTGTTTTTTTAATTATTAAGCAGTCTTAAATAGATAACTGCTATTGTATGTTTCAATAATTAAATTTTTTACCGATCGTGTTTTTGTAAATTCCACTTATTGTTTTGAAATGTTTTCATGCATACACTACTTTCCTTTCCATACTTTTAACGAAAAAAGCATTAAAATTGACATTCCAGTAAATCGCTAACTACACTATGATACAATACATTGGACAATACGTGCACAATGGAATATACACGAAAAATTAGTATTGTTCAGAAATAAGTAGCAGTTAACACAAATAAGAAACGTCAGATATTTTATTTTTGCAGAAATAAAGCAAAATTATAATGTGATAAAATATTTGCTTATTTCTGAACAAATCGATTGCTTATTGTACGAGAAAGCAAAGAGGGGCGAGTGTACATTGATCTTTTATACATATTTTTATACATAAACATAATATACACGTGTATCGTGAACTGATCCCATTTTCCAAGCCTACAGAGAGAATTGGATGTTGGATGAATTGGATGACAAGAAAAAAATATGATACCATCGATGGTTGTCGATTCAATTTGAGTATACATTTTTCCATCAGATATCTGTACGTCGTTATACGGATCATAATCGTCTAAATCCTCGTCACTCTTTAGTTTTGCAAGGATCTTGCGTCTTTGTTTCGTACCGACTGACTGCATAGCTAAAAGCACATTGGGGGACTGAATGCCAAGGGAAGATATCAACGCGTCCGTCCCATAAACGAAAGCCGCGCCTATGAGAAATCCAACTCCGATTGGTACGAACGCGTATTCGCCTTCAGCACCATAAATTTTGCTCTTTGTCGCCATTTCGATAGCAGGTGCCAGTAGCGACCAGTAACTTGCCGCTATCATTACGCCGCCCGCAAATCCCAGGCTGATGTCCAACAATTTACGCTGCAATAAAATGCGTTTTATATTTTAGAATCATCCTTCTATTTCTTATTCTAAAGTATTTTTAAACTTTTAAATACATTTATTTGTATGAATGATCAATGACATATTCATTCCATTTTAAAAATAATTAATTTCTTCCCTAATTTTCTTTTTTTCTTTATTCGTATTATTTCATTTCCTCTTTTCTTATTTTTTTTTTTATTATGAATAAAATATTATCTATATATCCAATAATTTTATGATACGTTTTATAATTGTTTTATATTGTTTTTATTTAATTGTAAATTTTACATTTTATTACATTATATGTTCAGTTAGGATAAATTTAATCTTATCAGATAAAGTTTAAACAGAGTAAATACCTGTTAGTAATTTCTTAAAAAAAAAGAAAAGAAAAAGAAAAAAGAAAAAAGAAAAAAAGAAAAAAAGAAGAAAAATTTATAGATAACATTGAAATTACGTAATACGTTTTTATTCCGATTCGCAAATAGAAGAGTTAATTAACTTCGTGTTAACTGGTTGTAAAAATTTACATTACAAATGTGTAGATTAAAAAACATCATTAATTTAATAATCATCAAAATCGAGATATTATTATAACATATATGTTACAGTATAGCATAGTAAAAATTAGAATATTTTATAACGAAACATGATATCTGAAGTATTATAAAAATTTTAGGAACATTTCTAAATTGAGGGAAAAAAACGGAATTCAAAATATTTTCAAAACGGAGCAATTCCCGCGAAGAAAGTACGATAAAGCCGGATAAGGTTAGTATGTATTTCATAAGATAGGTTAGGACCTAGAATGTATATGATTTTATTTGATAAAATGATAAATATTTAAAGAAGTGTACAGAAATTGAAAATATTATTTGATTCGAAAAAAAAAAGAAAAGAAGCAAAGAAATAAAACTTACTTGCTTTCCTCGAATCACGATGACAAGTGCGGCACCCGCTGCAGTGAGAGCCCATGTAAATAACGTTCCTAGGAGCGCCTGTACAATCGGCGAATAATCCTTTAACATTGTACCAATCGTCAAATTCACGACACCTTAGATTACACCGCACATTCTCTACGACGTGAACCACGAGAAAGTGTTTCGTGGGACATGAAATTCGTTGATATGCATTCAGTCCCCCGCACTTATCTCCACTAGCACCACCACCATCACCGTCATCACTACTACTACCACTGTAGTCGCCACTGATATTACCTTCATTACAGTTACTATTACTACTAAATATCGGTGTTGCTATTGCCACTTTACTATTACCAACACATATTCGCGTGAATTTGTTGTACGACGACTTCGTTCCTGCACTTGTCAATTATGATTTCCGAGCAGGATACGCAGAACGTTGACATGAAACCGGACGAGCATACGTAGATGACCATACCGCGAACACACGTTTATCACTCTTCGCCCTTGCGTACAAATAGGGTTGCTTGTACATACATGTGACGCTAAACACTTTCTCAATTGGCCAATAGAATTTGCCATTTTCAATGCACCAATCCGGCAACGATTTGCAGGGACGCACTCGATATTCAAACTATATTGAACCTGTATCAATTTTGACAGACATTCGATGTCTCGTTTATCGAAGTACGTTTAGAAATTTTAATCGTTTGTGATTGATCAAAAATATATTTAACTTTTCTTTTAGGATTTTTAATTCAAAACGACTCGGTACATATTTCGCGCTTTATCTCATACCAATCAAGGCGTTAGTATCGCTGGAAGCTTTTAGTAAAATACGCTAACATGGCGTCTGCGTCGGTAAGTGTACGGAACATTTCAACCCATTCGATTTTCATACATATTGACGTTGGGTGTTTTTTCTTTTTATTACAATTTTATACCACACCAATTTACTTTAAAGCATCATAGGAAAGAATCATTTTTAGCGCGTAAAAATCAACGCCATTTTATTGCCGGAAGAATTATTATTGACATTTGTTCGTGACTATCTGTTCATAGGTATATTATAGTTAAATTTAATATAAATTCGTTATTTGTGATTATGGTTTTATTATATATAAAGTACTGATAATTTCTTTTATATAAAGTTTATTAGAAAGAAAAAGAAAATTTTTATTCTTTGATTAATTAATGATTATTTTCATCACATTATATCTTTGTTGCTTGTTTACGAATTTCATATTATTTTTTATAGGTTCCTTTGCTAATGGACGATGATACAATTGCTTTTGGCGAAGAAGATGAAACGAATCAAAATAGTAATAAACTTAAGTACGTATACATACGGATATAAATATATGAATATTTATATATATATATATATATATATTATATATAATAATTATATATATTATATATAATAAATATATATACATAAGCAGTTACAATATTTAAAATTGATAAAATTAAATTTTTATAGACATCCATATGTCACCATATTTCATTTAGCCTTCAGAATATCAGCGATAATAGCATATATGTTATGTGGATGGTTTTCAAATAGTTTTATAACTAGTTTTGTTGTTGTTGTATTACTTTTATCAATGGATTTTTGGACTGTAAAAAATATTACTGGAAGATTAATGGTTGGACTTAGATGGTGGAATTACGTGGATGATAATGGAAAGAGCCACTGGGTATTTGAATCTAAAAAGGTTTGTTTTTAATTTTTACATTGTAATAAAGATAAAGTATTCAGTTATATCCAATTTTATTTTACAATTGATTATATTTTACATTTAATTGAACTTATAAGTGATTGATTTATAAGCATTATATGTATTTTTCTTTTATATTTTATATTTTGATAGATATTGCTTTTTCTTGAACGAATAGTTCAAGGATTACTAGATTTCACATTATATAGCCTTGACATATTCTGGTTAAAAAGAAAAGAAACATTATAATTATGCAGGAATTTAAAGTTTTAGCATTCTTAGTAAATGACAAGAAAAAAATATGTAAAAAATTATAATTGTTTACTATAAAATACAAGGTCTATTATGTACCCTGTGTTTCAGGGTGTTCAACAGAATCGCATTAATACCACGGAAGCTCGTATCTTTTGGTTAGCTTTAATTCTTTGTCCCCTTTTATGGTCAGTATTTTTTGTGGTGGCATTATTTAGTTTAAAATTTAAGTGGCTTCTACTTGTTTGTATCGCGATTGTTTTAAATGGTGCAAATTTATACGGATACGTGAAATGCAAAATGGGAAATGATAAAAATATTTCTGCAGCAACTAGTGATTTTTTGAGGAAACAAGTCATACAAAATGTTAGTATAAATAAACATTCGTTATTTATTCCCAATTATCGATATCATATCACGAATCGATAGATTCATAATCATTATTGTTTTTCAGGTTGCATCTATGATGACTAGAAGTCCTCCCACGGGTAATTCAAACGAACCAACCAATGTGATATAAAATTAGAAAGTTTTAACAATGATATCATAATGAATATTAAAAAAAATATCAATTTGTATATAATAATTTGTCTTGTATATCTTGATCGAATAACATAAAAAATTAAGTTGCTATCAAAAACAAAATGTTGTTTCTGTTTGTTTTTCGCATAAGAAAAAAAAAAATATATATATATATTGAAGAAAAAACAGTTAAATGGGAACATTACGTTAATTATTAGTTTATTGATGCCACAGGGCAATACATAATGTACACCTTATTTCTCCTTGTCAACAGACTTTCTATTACACAATATTTAATTTGTATAGGTGTTAATCAGTAACATTGCATTTATTATATTCACTTCAGCCTGTTGTATTCTTTCTGGCAAGAAAGTATCACAAAATAATTTCCCATTCTTTCAACGATATTTAATATTTGACTTATTCTTTGTTTCTTTAATTCATATTTCTCTCGGAATTAAATCGGACTGTAATCGTTACGACTACAATCTTATCCGAATGTATGAACTCGAGATGATCTTACGCACAGTGTAACAAACTCGTCTCGGTATTGCACGGAGCGATAATGGCCGATTGTATTTTGTTGTATTAGGAAAGATTGCTCCGAAAATACGAGTTGCATGCTTTTTAAGAAGAAGAAGAATACAACAAACCACATATTGCTATACACTCTGGGATATAAAAAATTATAAACACTAACAATAGACACGCAACTAACGTACAACATACACAAAACTTTTGGAATGATACAAAAGAACGTAAATAACGTTACGATCGTTATCTTATAAATATATGAATATCGTGGACTTTTTTGAATTGGTAAATTCATCGAATACAATTTAATGCTACTAACTTATAACTAGTAATATGTTTATACAATCATTTAACTTTTCGTTTCCCGTAACATATTGTATTTTAGTCTGGAACTTTGAACGCGAAGTTGTCGACCGACTTGGCGAAACTGCATTTTGTGCAGAATTATATTTCTTCTCTCTTTCTTTTTTTTTTTTTTTTCTTAATTTTTTCCATACATGTATTTGTGTGTGTATGCAATTAAAGATTTAATCGAAGAATAACAACCTCATCAATGATATTAAAATTATTGTATCAAAGCTATCAAAGTTTATTTCGCTTATTCCACGAATAGATTATTTGAACTAAAATTGTTTTCTCCTTTTTTTTTTTTTCCCCTTTAACTTTGTACAAATAGTTAGTTCTTACAGTTTCTTGTATTGTTGCCGTTCGAGGAAATATGTCTATTTCTTTTTTTTTTTTTTTTTTTTTTTTTTCCTGTACTTTTAATTTCTCAGACTTTTCAGTGATGAATTTCGTACCACGTACTAAGTAACAAGTTGATTTCATCAATAAGTTTCTATATTAATCGTACTTTTTAACAATGGCAAATTTTTATTCGAGAGAGAAATTATTCGAAGAATTGCTTAATGTTGATTTGATTTACTGAATAACAGTCGTTTCGTGTCTCTTCATTGTCAACGTAGCAACAACGGAATTCATATTCCGAGTAGAAACACGATATCGCGAATTATATAAGATATTAAAATGAGAAGGGAGAGAGGAGGGGAGGGGAGGGGAGGGGGCGAGGCAAGGAGAAGAGGTAGGAAGAATAATGAAAAAAGAGGATGAAGAAATGTAATAATGTACACGTAGTAAATGTAGTCTAATATAAAAAAAATAATTATAAAAATAAAATTATTTCGAGTGTAATTTTTATGCTCGTACCAAAGGCCAATAATGTGTAATAATCGAATATCAATGGAGGAACGAATTTGATGATATATTTTGAAGCGAAAAAAAAGTTAGAAAAGAAAATATGTCAGTACGGATGCGCGTATAAATCTACACAAGAACGGAACACTCGGTGAAATCTCGAAATTTCAACGGACAATGAGAGAGATACTAAGATTAAATATAGTATTATATAATCTTTCGAAAAGATCGACCGAGGTGGTTTAAGTACTTTTAAAAGTACCGAAAAATACACGTACACGATAATATATTAAGAGACGCAATGGCCTTCAGTCTTACAACGTCAAATAAAAACGAGATGAGATACGATTAAACGCATGTTTCGAAATAATAGATTTAATTAGTCTTCAATGTAAATGTCGTATATATAAAAAAAAAAAAAAAAAAAAAAAAAAGACAATTAAGCAAGTTAAAGTTGCGTGAAAAAAAAACTATAAAAATATGATGAAAAACAATATCAAAACTAAAAACAGTATCAAAAGTAAAATGCGTTAATAGTATTGAAAAGTGTAATAACGATGAGGAAAAAAGAAAAGTTGATCTTGACAGTCTAGAAAATATCCACAGCTTTTTTTTAAATGCGTACTCTCTTCAATTATGATATTTATAATATATATCTATGTATATATTATTTATCATTTTACTTATGTATATTTATATTTATATTCATATTTATAGTTATATTTATATTTATATTTATATAATGTTATTAATGACAAACGGTGCATTTATGTACACATTAGTCACAATTCCTGACCCTCGAGAACCACTTTTAACATAAAATATATACGTTGAATGCTCGATTATGAAACGTTATGAAATTTTCGAATTGAAAATTATCTAAACAATTGAATGTAAATTGTATGACGATTTCTTTTCTTTCCTCGTTCTTTTTTTCCTCTTTCTTTTTTCATTTGTTTTTTTTTCTTGTTTCGCTCGTTAAATTCTAATATGCAACAAAACAACAATAAAGTCCAGATATTATCGTATTACAGAGAAACAGGATTGAAGCCAAAAAAATGCCAAAAACGAAAAGAGACGTCTCATTCGTTCCTATGAGTATAATTATTCGTTACGGTATTCGTGCAAACACACACACATGTATTCTATATTTTTATAAATAGAATTTTTTTTGCTCTACCATTATCGAACAGCGATAGAACGATTTCTATTCAGCCGAACGATATCATGAGAAATTTCGAAATATAGAAAGTATATAAACAAATACATGTTTATTGTCCTCATAGACTATTCATTTGTAAATCTTTGAATCGCAAATAGTATATATATGTATATATATATCTCGAAAATTCGTATCGTTGTGAAAAAGGATTACGAAGCATAGGATCGATCACGATGCACAATTAACAACTGTTTTTGGCATTGATTTGGCGCGTTGTCCGTGCCGGGGATGATGATCCAACGTACATGTGTATACGAAGTTTCGTTGACTTTTCTTAGATTTTACAACAACGCAATGCGATTTTTTTTTTCTTTTTTATATCAGAAACGAGTGTAATTTATATCAGGATTTAGCGAATAGATTCGGTTTTGATCGAGAACCGAGTTAAGAACAATTCAGATTTTTGGAAAAATTGCGCGTTTGGATAGTTTAACAGCCGGGAAAATTGTAAAAAAATGTAGAAGCCTAAAATGGAGATTTGTACACAAAGGGTATCGAGGGTTCGATGGAATATGGATACGCAAATCCGACATACAGTGCTTCTAGTTAATTAAATTAGTTCGCGTAGAAACCTGCACAATATCTTTTGTGCATTTTAATCGAATATAGGCACCGTTTCCTTTCATTTCCTTTCATACTTCCTTCATTCGATACACTCGCATTATTTTTTTTTTTTTTTTCTCTCCTTTTTTTCTAATGGCATCGCTTACAAACTAATCTTAGAACAATCGCCTTACGATATTACTTAAAATTATAATAGGTAATGAGAAGATCCCTATCGTGCGTAATGGATTCAGCATGAATAATTGTCGATTTGGCAGTATGGTAATTTTCTCGTAGCTCGGCGGAAATTTACGTCTCATTGAGAAATTTATCTTTCCTCGTTAAAGTACCAATATTTTCGCTATTTCTTCCAGATTTCTCGATATGTTTTGTGTCGCATCCATAAGTACTTTTGGAACGTGCCACGCATGCTTTCTTCTCAGCTTCTTTATCGTTCGCGATCGAACGCGTTAATACGCCTTCGTAGTTGCCTTACTAGAGTAATTCCTTTTTAAAATTTTTCATTCCCAGTAATATGGAAGCACTTGTCTCTTCTCCGAAACGAACAAGAAAGTTTCAACTGTTTTCAACTACGTAGAACGAAATACCGTGAACGGTGATCGGGAGTAAAACGCACGATCGTAATAAAATAATAATGCTCGTCGGTTTGTCTCTCGCTTATTCTTATCGTTAGTCTCGTTTAAAAGCAAATGCGTAAATGTGAAATGTTTCGAGAGATCTCGCGCGAGATGTGTAATCTTTCGAAATCTCTCCCGAAGTTTGGATATGTTTTAATCGATCGAACTTTCAATCACGATTTTTTCCGAATTTTTTTCCAATCAAATTCTTCGTCCGATTTTTCTTCGATTTCTATCGATTCGGGAATATTTAATGTTTACGCGTACGTACACGGTGTATACAAATAAGTACTTACGTATGTAAGTTACTTTGCGAGTGTGTATTATTTCATTTTTTCCAACCATAAAATCGGTGTTAAAATAATTTGTTGCGAGGATTATCTCTACTCAAATATGATTGTTTTTTCGTACAAATATTTGATTCCACGCCGTTTATAATTCCAAACGGCTTTTCATCTTTTTTCTTCTCCTCTTATTTGGGAATTTTTGAAATTTTGGAAATCGTGGCACAGCACGATACCGCGCCGATATAAAAGCGAAACGTTTCCGCGTATCTCGAGATTGTTGCGACACCATTGACTATAAGATATTTGGTTACTACGTTGTTAGTTGCTCGACAGATTAATAATTTATCGCCTTTCTACTACTTGTATTTGTCATCGGAAGGTACTACGTATAGTACGTTTTGCCCGTGGGAACATGGTACAGGCTTTATATACTTACAAACTTACATACTTTTTCTCAAGTATTTTAATCAATCGTTAATTAAACGCGGCGCACTTTTGCCCGTTCACCGTCTCTCTCGTTCCTTTGCCGATCTCTTCTGTCCCTCGTCGATTCCCTTTCCTCGCGAGTATCGGGTTGTCAGTTGGCGTAATGATCGAAAGAACCCAAATATTCCAAACTGGCGCGATAACAGAATTGATATTGGTCCTGCGAAAATAATAAACACATATAATATATATATATATATATATATATATATATACACGTACACGTATATATAGGTAATAGAGCAAAGCGTTTCTTTTTTTTCTTAGACGATAGAAAATGATAGAAAATGATTAGGTGGATTGGATCGGACAGACCTCGGTTTGAACCATGGCTGGTCGTTGCGTGCGCAATATTCTCACTGTTTGGAAAATATCGACCACCCCTTCGTACTGCATGCGTTCCAACACGATGCTGAGAGTGATGAAAACGCCGGTTCTCCCAACGCCAGCGCTGCAATGCACGGTGATCGGGCCGTCCTGGCCGAACTGCTCCTTCGTTTTGTGCACTTGTCCGATGAAGTCGATGAACCCGTCCCCGGACTTCGGGACACCCTGCTCGGGCCAATCGATGAACTGGAACTGTCTGACGGTACGGCTCGCCCCGTCTCGCGCATCCGTCACCTTGAACTCTCGGAGGATGTACTGGGGCATGTTGTACTCGGCGATCGGGTCGACGACGAAGCATTGATAACGAATCGACCTGTCCGACGGCCAATATTGATGGCACTTCTCCCTCCCCATCTCCTTCAATTTCGTCAACATGACAACTATGGTGGAATTGTGCTCCCAGAGCATTCGCCAAAAATCGTCGGTCGTGTCGCAAAGGGGTCCCTGAGTGGCTATGTAGGCGCCTCGGTACCGATACCCGTCGATCAGGCTGGCGTTTATGTAATCGGATCCTTCGATGTTCCGTTGCGGTTGCAAGCAAACTCTGGTGCACTCGTACGGCAGAATGTGTACCAATCGATTTTTGTGTTTGTTGCAGGGAAGATTGGCCGAGATGAACCGGGACGAGTCCACTTTGATGTTGGACAATTTTTTGAACTCCAACTCCATTCCCGTGATACTCTCGATCTCGGGCTGCATCAATTTCTGGATATGGGAGTGCAAGTTTCTAGCAGGTACCTCGGTGTTGCCGCAAATCACGGCCTCGTAAAGCGCGTCGTGGATAAATATGTATTGGTCCTCGGTCTGGACCATGTAGTTCCTTTGAGCGCGTAAACAAGTTACGTGGCCGTATATGTCGATCATCTTTTCGTGTTTGATCCTCTCGAGCATCGAGTCGATTACGATGAAGCAACCGGTCCGCCCGACGCCCGCGCTGCAGTGCACGATCAACGGGCCGCTGTCGGGCGGATTCAACGACCTGACCCTGCGCAAGAATTGGAGGAACGGCGCGGGATGCTCGGGCACGCCGTGGTCCGGCCAAGCGGTGAATTGCAATTGCTTCATCTCCCGCCTCTCGGAGTAGCCGGCTCGGGATATTTGAAAGGTTCGGATGCAATAGGTGGCGAGCTCTTGAACGTCGGTGATGGTGACCGTCATCAAACCGTAAGTCTCGGACCCTCTGCTCGGCCAATACTGGTCGCACTTTATCCTCGTCCTCTCCTCCAGCTTCGTCATCATCACGATCGTGCTCGACCTCAGCTCCCAACACATCCTCCAGAAATCCCCGAACGTTTCCTGGAGGGGGCCTTGGGTGGCCACGTACGCGTTCTGCTTCCTATATCCGTCGCAGTAATTGGCGTTTATGTAATCCGTACCCGACATACCGTCGATAGTTTGGAGAATCACCCTCGAATGGTCGTACGCGATCACGTTCGCGTAACGATTCTTCGAGGCGTTCACCTCCATGTTCGAGTGGTCCCACGTGAATTGCTGGCCGGGCTCGATCGACTCGTACTCCTGACTGAACTTCAGATTGTCGTTCGCTTTCAGCCGCTCGATGTGATTGCCCAGCTCGGTGATCGGGATCGGTGGATGGGACACCATGCCGGGCGTTTGGAAATTTAAACGCCGCATTTCGACCGGGTCGGATGGGGCGTGATTCGAGCTGATGTCGGCAGGTATCAATGGCCGAGTGACGGCCGCCTGATCCGGTGTCTTGCAGGGTTGCCTTCGTCTAAACATATATAGAATCGCGTGGAGAATATGATTATATAAATATAGATAAATATAAATTGATCGCCACCTCGGACTACGCGTCCGACTACTCTCACTGAGCCATACCGTACTTACTTTTTAATGACGAAAAGAAGGACGAGGAACACGCTGACCATCAAAGCGGCTATTATCGGCCCGACCACCCACACCATCCCCGGCTCCTGTCCGCTCGTTTTCACGGACACTTCCGGATTTCCATCGACCGGGGTGTTGGGATTGGGACGTCGAGGCGGCTCGCCCGGCGGTACTTCCCTCATATCGAGGGACAAGTATTCGGAGAAAGGCGACGAGGTGTACAAATGCTGCAGACAAAAGAAAAGGGGAAACATCGATTTGACGCGACGCGTGTTCCATCGTATCGTAGGATCAACGATACCCACCTTTCTCGGCGTATCGACCACGGCGCGAACGAAAATCCTGTACCGTTTGTTCTTCTCGAGTCTACGATTCTCGTAACCGTCGTATATATCTCCGCTGCCAAGATGGAACGTGTACGGGATATCCCTGTGCGGAAATTTGGCCGCGATGTACGGGGCGTTCTCCCTCTCCTGCTTGGCCCCCTTGCCCGCGATCATGTCCTCGGTGAGCTCGTCGGGCTGCTTCTCGGCAGTCGACTTGTCCTCGGGCACCACGATCAAGTAATAGTGGGAGATCGGCCCGTACTCCTCTGAGGCCTGTGGCAGTATCACTTGGATCTCCTCGCCGTTCACCACCCCGTAGAAATCCGGCTTCACCATCGGCTTCGGGGCTGCCATTTGCGTGGTGATGGTGATTTTCGCCGGTGGCCTGTACTGCCCGTCCCGCGGCACCGCGCTCACGTTCACGTTGTACGTGGTGAACGGTTGCAACTCGTTTATCGTGGTTGTGGTCACCGTAGGGTCCAACAGGATCTGCCTACGAGGCACGATCTGGGTTTGCGTGATGCCCTGCGAGTCCACGAACTCTTTCACGGCGTCGAACGACACCTTGTAGTTCATCGGGTTCAATCTTATTGGCGGTTTCCAGGAGAGGGTCATCGAATGGGTGGACGAGTCGGGCGCCCTCAGATCCAGGGGGACGTCTTCCGGCTTCACCTTAACCGTCACCTTCTCGCTGAGCCTTCCCAAACCGGTCTTGTACCTGGCCGCCACGGTGATCGCGTACTGGGTGAATTTCTCCAAATTGACCAGATCCGCGGACTCGGTGAGGCCGATAGTCTTTTGCTTCCACTCGTCCAGATCCTCGACCGCGGTCGTCGTGTAGAATATCTGGTAACCGAGGATCTTGCCGCGGTTGGGGACCGGCTCCCACCAAACCTCCACGCTCGTGTCCGAGGTTGCCACCGCCTTCACCGACATGGGTGCACGGCCCATGTCCTTCTCGGTCACGATCGTGATCTTCTCGGAGATCGGGCCGCTCCCTCTCGACGTCCGCGCGATCACGTGGAACACGTACTCGGTGTTCTCCTCCAGGTTCGTGAAAACCGCCCTAGTCTTCGTCGTGTTCCGGTTAATCGTGGTCGAGTGATCGTTCTTCTTGTTGAATTGAACGTCGTAGCCGATTATCTGGCCGTTCCTGTGCTCTCGGAGAGGCATGTCCCACGTTACGCACACGGTGTCCGGTGTTTGGAAGAAGTAGGATAAATTGGTCGGGGCGCCGGTGGGTAATCCTTCGGGGCTGAACCAGTATCGCACGGTCTCCTGGCCGAACCCGATCGCGTTCTGCCCGGCCACTCTGAACTCGTAATCCACGCCTCTCTCCCCTGCGGAAGAAGGAAAATCGAGGGAATCGGCCGATAATTCGGGGATCGAGAATCGAAGGGGACCGAAACTTACCGAGATCGGTGATTTTATACGTGTGTTGGTGAATATCTTGTATAAACTCCTCCTTCAACGTTTGATTCTTAATCCCGTACCTTATCCTGTACCCCAATAGATCGCCGTACGTTTGCGTGGGTTGCGACCATTCGAGCTCCAGCAACTCGGGATCTCGGGACAAAACTCTGGAAACGCGATCGATGAGATCGAATTGAACCGAATCGAACCGAATCGAACCGAATCGGACCGAATCGGACCGAATCGAACCGAATCGGACGGAATAGAACCGAATCGGACGGAATAGAACCGAATCGGACCGAATAGAACCGAATCAAATCGAACCGAATCGGACCGAATCGAACCGAATCGGACGGAATAGAACCGAATCGGATCGAATAGAACCGAATCAAACCGAACCGAATCGGACCGAATCGAACCGAATCGAACCGAATCGGACCGAATCGGACCGAACGATCGATTCGAAGGGGAAAAATTCAAAGATACAAAGAAAGAAAGAAAGGTACGTACTTTACGTTAACGTGAGGCCTGTTGGGCACACCTCCGGGAGTTCTGACGTGAACCGGTGGCGAACGATCGCCGTCTCCCTTTCTTGTCAGAGCGGCCACTTGTACAGAGTATCTGGTGTCGGGTTGCAACCCTGTAATGTTCACTTCCAGCACGCCTTCGTGCACGTCGCGTCGTATCGGCTCGTTCAACAGATCCTTCCCCTGGAAAACGAAACGAAACATCTATCCATCTCCCTAGTTCTCCCTAGCGGAGAATCGGGGCAATCGATCCACCAAAGGTGCTCCTCACCTCTTCCCTCACTTCTTGCACGTGTATGTGATAACCTCTGATCACGCCGTTTTGCTCTTTCGACTTTGGCGGTTTCCATTCGACGTGTATCGCCGTCGAATTGATCGGCGTCACTTTCACGTCTTGAGGATCACCCGGCACTGGAACGCAATCAACGGTTAATTCGTGCACTTGAAGGCACCAAGCCTCTGTGTCGCACACACGCTCGCAATCGCACGCTCACGTACACAATCGTCACGGTCACACTGAGAAAGAGGGGGCGGGGGAATTAAACGATATGATAGAAAAACCTGAAAAAAAATATAAATAAATAAATAAATGAATAAACACAACAAGTTTAACCGAAAAATTAAAAACAAATGAAACGCGTTATCATTTATGCGGGGATGAATCCGTGTTGTCTGTCCAAACGGAACGAAGAAGCGGCTAAGAAACACAGGTGTATAGGATGAAATATACAAGTGCATGCGTATTTTTCTCCAAACGAACAGATACGAATAACGCAAAGTATGGATACTTTACTGCGGAAACGTAAATATAACGATAGATATTTTGTCTGCTGTTCGATCGGTAATCGGTCCGTTACGAAACGTTCGTCGTTCGTCGTGTAATAACGAAAGAAAAGGAGAGTAGCAAAAGTAGCGAAAAAAGAAAAAAAGAAAAAAAAAAAAAAAGAAAAAAGAAAAAAACGATAAAACGAAAGCGTCGAAATATAGCGATTGAAAAATCGTGCGAGAAATGAAATCATACGCAGCGATGAAACGAATAGAAGGGAGATACGTAAATGAACGTATAAAAAAAATAAATGGAAGAAGAAGAAAAAGAGAAAGAGAATAAGAATGATAAAAAGAGAAATAGAAACAGATAGAGTTAGAGATATATATAGATATATATAATGTGTGTGTGTGTGTTTGTGTGTGAGCGTGCGTGTGTGTGAGAAAGAGTACTTGTTTGTGTGTTTGCGTGAGAGAGAGAAAGAGTAAAGAAAAAGTAATGGAAAATATGTACATGCCACCAATCGCACACGAACAAAACGACGTACAAACAATATTACGAGGTACGCGGTACCTCATGCTCTACGTCCCTACGGCACGATAATCCTCCATTTGAATACCAATAATGTATGTTTTTATTCTGCATTCGATTTGAGAACGCGAATGTACGAATACGCGCGTATAAATACGTCATCGAGATGCAAGCGCGTGGTTACGTTGGTCGATAATGCTACACAGCAATATTGGAGAGTCCATGACGAACGAAACCAAGTAGTTTCGTATACGTACATACGTATTATATAACTATATACACATGTGCGATCTATGAACGTTTTGGTGCTGGGTGTGGATGAAAACTGTGCCAGCAAAATCGTGCAATCGTGTTTTTTCGATAAACGTGCAAGGATATGGACAAAACGTATTACGCGAATTTACAGATATCCACATCGATAAACCCTTTCGTTAATTCGTTGCGAACAACGTTTCATCTTCTTCTTTTCCTTCTTTCTTCTTCCCCTCCTCTTTTCTTTCTTTTCTGCTTATCAATTATTAATTATTTCGATACATTTTTTTTTTTTTTCCAATTCGTCCATTCGTCGAAATACGACAGCGACGATCTTTTTTCACGCGGATAATAATTCGTATACGATATGCATGGTCATGGACAATCCAGTATCCGGTATTGGAAACTTTATTAATATCGGCATTACAGAAAAACATAAATAAGAATAAAAAAAAAAAAAGAAAAAAAAAAAAAGAAAAAGACTTAGAGGAGAAAAGAAAGGAAAATCTATGTAAATCTAGGTTTGTACGAGAACGATAAGTGCAGCCTCTACCAAGTATCGCAAAATAAAAATGCGTTGCTCAAGGAAGGTACGACAAAGAAAAGCCATGTACGATCGTTGCACAGTTTCGGTATGCGGAACAAGTTTCCTTCGATCGTTGAATATATCTTTGCTCTATCCGTTTATGTTTTTGCGTAGTTGCAGTGTAATCGTGAGTTAAATACGCTCGTAAAATTGCTACGTAACGCAAAAAACAAATTTGGCGAGCGCGCAATCGCAGACGTTTAATTTTCAAACGTTTTTTCATTTCAATTGTATTTGCTTGCCAATCGCAGCAAAAAAAAAAAAAAAAAAAAACATCTTCAAAATAGTCTCTCGCAGAGAAAAAACAAAACGCTATGCGAAAGAGCTGAGAAAAGGAAGAGAGAGAAAAAAAATAATATACGTATATATATAGATAGATAGATGTATAGAATAAAAAAAGAGAGAAAGAGAGAGAGAGAGAGAGAGACAAAGAAAATGATCAAATATAAAAAGTAGAAAAATCATGGCACAATTCGAGACGAGCTAAGGGATACTCACTTTTTACAGCTGCGCCCCAAAAGTCGCCAAAAAAGTGGGAAAAAAATCTCGTAAAAATTCGTGTCAATTTCTCACGTATATTGAGTAGAATTATTAAATATTTAATATATTTAGGCATATCAGTGGGTAGCATACTACTGATTATTATCAACGTCAACATGACCTCTTTTACAGCTATTCTTTTTTTTTTTTTTCTGCTCTGATTAAGAGAAAGATAAAAAGATAGAGACAGAAAGAGAAAGAGAGTAGAGACAGAGAGACAGAAAGAGAGATAGAAAGAGAAAGAGAAAGAGAAAGAGAAAAGATATAGAAAGAGAAAGAGAGAGTAAACATAGTTAGATAGATAGAAAGAAAGAGAAAGGGAGAAAGAGTAGACGTAATTGGATAGATAGATAGAGAGAGAAACAGAGAGAAAGAGAGACAGAGAGAGAGAGAGAGAGAGAGAAAGATATGAATTTTTTCGTCTGTTTATCTAGTGAAACACGCACACGCGCATTCACTCTTTCGTTCCCTCCCTCCCACGCGCTCGATTCCAATCGCACCCTCTGCTCTATCCGTAATATTTTTTATCGCTCTGTAGAGCAACATCGGTGGACAAAGTTCTCTTTCGAATCGATCGTTAAATAGAAAAATATCGCTTGGTCCTCGGTTGCAGTTGGTCGCAGAGAGGCGGGAGATGTGAGAATATCTTTCTTTTTTTATTTTTTTATTTTTATTTATTTATTTTTTTTTTCTTGTCTTTTAGGCATGCGCAATCACTACTCCAAATATGAAATAACTAAAGGCTCATGTCCACCTGCCTCCTGCCGTCGAGAGAAAGATTTCCCAATTTTTCTCCTTTCTTTTTTTTTTTTTTCTTTTCATACGTCCCCCATCCGAATTGGAATCCGAAGGCGAACGAAAAATACGACCACGGCGACGCGAGAAAGAAAGGAAACGAAGAAAACTTTCGCGTTCGCGTTCCCGTTCGCGTTCACGTTCGCGTTCTTTCCCTCGCGGCACGAGGCATCGAGAGAGGGAAGACCTATGATAAAAATGTCTACTAAAAAGAAAGCTAGAAAGAAAAAACCATAAGTAAGAAGAAATGGTTGGAATCGTGTATGGTACGGGTACGTATGAACCGCTATCCGTGTATATCTAAAATCGTGGAGAGAGCGAGAGAGAGAGAGAGAGAGAGAGAGAGAGAGAGAGAGAGAGAGAGAGAAAGGAAAAAAAGTGTGACTCGTCTCAATTTGCGAACCGAAAAAAATTCGCGGTACGGTACGTATGTATATATAGAATAGATAAGGGAATACGTAGTCGGTAAGGTGGAATGTTTTCGAGGAAAAATTACTTTGCTTCTGCAACTCCAAAAAGTCACCCGCAAAAAACGTTAGCTCGATAAAAAATTTGTATTATCGTATATATATATTTTGGGCAGATTTTTCGCGAGAGAGAGGGAAGGGGGAGAAAGAGAGAGAGAAAGAGAGAGAAAGAGAGAAAGAGAGAGAGAGAGAAAGAGAGAGAGAGAGAGAGAGAGAGAGAGAGAAGGGGCTGGGCGGCGCGGCGGGCGTCATTTCGTTTCGTTCGTTTTCGTAAGTACGGTAAAAAATTATTTTTCGTCCCCCTTCTATACCCTTCCATTTTATTAGCAGCATCCACCCACGCAAAAATCGGGAGATTCTTCGCAAAATATACGCGTAATTACGAGGAGCGCGTGAAACGGAGCGCGCCGTTTTTAGATCGGTCGCGAAAACCCGGGAATGCACGGGGATACGCCGGCTAATCGGATTTCCGCTCGGTTTCTCAGTTGTTGGTTTTATCGGCGCGCATCTACCGACAGAATCGAATCGAAGGAAAGCAGAAAGAAGAGGGAAAGGGAGCATGCGTTTGCCGGAGGAAACGATGGAAGCGTTGGGGAGAGGGAGAGCGGGGGGGGGGGGCAGTTTAAAGGGTTTCGTTTTTTTTTATCGGAAAAAGAGGATCCTGTTCGTTAATCGCTCGATTTCTTCGAGACCGATATATATAAAAAAGGAACATCGATTCGAGCCGACCTGCGAATTCAGGTGAACACATTGAAGTCGCGTGCATACACACGCAAACGCACGCACGCACGCACGCACGCATGCATTCACACGCGCATATAGACACACACGCACACGAATAAAAAAAAAATATATATATATTCTTTCTATATACCTAGAGGAGAAGACGTGAAGGTCATATCGATATATAAAAATGTTGCGAAATGCGTAATATATATAATAATATATATATATATATGTATGTGTGTGTGTGTGTGTGTGTGTGTGTGTATAAATTTAGAATAAAATACGTAATTATCAATATCAAAGATACGATAAGTTAAATTACAAAGAGGCAAAAGATGGAAAAAAAAAGTAGGTCGGTGAATTGCATGCAAAGAACGAAGGTGCACGTATAGACAGTATATAAAGAATAGAAAAGGTTTGGTGTATATAACGATTATGTATCATTCCAACGAGCTCGGTGAGTGTAAGAAATTTCACGATATAATAACTCGTGCGTATATATATAGATCGAGGATCGTCGTTGATCGTGATCGGGATCGACGAATCTCTTTGCTCGAGCTGTCACGAGCTCTTGGATCATCGTTGCCTCGAACGGGCCAACATTCGATCGGAAAGATTATAAATTGGATATTGGTATTCAAATGTTTCAAAGTGAACGTCTTCTTCACGGTACGAACAACAACGTGGTTTGTTCTTCCATCGAGCTTCCTACGCCTTTCCTAATCACCATCGAATCTAGATTATTCCCGGCATATTCTCCTACTTCTCCGACAATACCCGCAACAACTTATCTTTCTCCTCGTCCTTTCCTTTCCTCTCGCGACTCGTGACACGTTTTCCGTTTTTATTACTCTCGCATCCTGTATATATACTCTTCGACACACTCGTTCACGCATTCACGCGTGCACCGACCCGACGTCAACTCGATACCACCTTTTCCCTTCGCCGATTCCCTTCAACGATTCATCGACGACAAATTAATTATTATTATTATTAATAAGAGATTAAGTGAGATCGTGGCGTAGATAGACGTATCGAGATCACGTGGGGAAGGCGCAGTAGTTGATCAGTAGTAGTTTGCAAGCGAAGACGAACTCTCGGTGAGTGGGTGCTCGTCGATCAAGGGTGCTCTCAGTGCAGGTGCTCGACACGATATATCGCAATCGAGTGTGACAATTGATATTTATATATATATATAGAGACACGTGAATATATATATAGCGATAATAATAAAGGGTGCGCTGCGATAAATACGGTGCTGTTTCGAACACGGCGAATACTAAAATATACCTAACATATCGCTTAGATATTTGCTATACGTATACGACGGGGGAGGGTGCGCATAGAGTCGCCCGCGCTTGTCCACGCACGAATCGGTCTCGAATAGGTGCGTACGTACGTATACGCACGCCACCCCCTTCCCCCCCTCTATATACGTGGCCGAGTGCACGCGGCTGTGCTTTTTGGCTGTCGGCTGGTTGGGTGAAGCGAAGCTTTTGCATTTTGAACGGTGGTGATGGCGGTAGTGGTGGTGACAGTGGTGGTGGTAGTGCACAGCTAGCGAGACGCGTCTGCGTGCGCGTAGCTTCGTGCGTAGATACGTACGTACGTAACACCATCTCCGACACCACTTCCTCCTCCTCCTCCTCCTCCTCCTCCTCCTCCTCTTCCTCCTCCCCCCTTCCTCCTCCTCCTGCTTTATTTTTATTTTCTTTTTTTTCGTGCATGACACGCGTGTGCGACTTTACATGCGTGCGTGGTGGGTGCGAGATAAAACCGTGCCCGCATGAAAAATAATACCTTTTTACCCGTGGTGCCCCGTGCATACACTCGTAAAGACGATAATCCAATATATACATTATATACATCAAATTTTCCATGTATATATATAATATATATATATATATATCGATAACACGTTCGTGGGACGATACAATTATAATTATATTGGTAGTGGCGGTACTAGCGGCGACAATAACAATAACGAACGAGTATACGTATATACGACGGTGAAGAACTTTTGTGCTTTGATAATGTGCGAGCTTACACGGCAGGGTGCTTTCAGCAGTGCTTTTTATCGTTCCGCCTCGCTTTGCCGAGTCTGCTGTTGCGAGAGGTGATGATGATGGTGGTGGTGGTGGTGGTGGCGGTGATGGTGACGAGGATCCGTAAACGGGACAATGCGTGGGAGGAAGTGGGAAAAACAGGAGAAGTGGTGAAACGAAAGAGAGAGAGAAAGAGAGAAAGAGAGAGAGAGAGAGAAAGAGAGAGAAAGAATGAGAGAGAGAGAGAGAAAGGAGATCCTGGTCGGTCCGTAAACGTCGAGCTCGAGCGTAAAAGGTTCGAGGGAACGTCGTTAGAGATTCAACGTTGACGACAATCGCGACGCTTCCACAATGCCCCTTCTCGCGACAAATGATTCCGATTTTCGCCGGATCTTCGATTATTTTTCAAAGACAAAAGAGCGAGTGTAGTTGGCGCGTTCGCACGCCACGCACAACCCCAACTCTCCTCCTCTCCCCCGTTCAACCCGAGGAGAAGAGAGAGAGAGAGAGAGAATTATCACCTCGATCTCTTTTCTTTCATCGATTTCTCATTATCGATTTCCTCCGTTTATCCCCCTTTTTCGCTTTCGCTCGAGATTCGAGAGATCGATCGGGCGGGGTGTCGGGTGTCGGATGGAGAGGGAGGGGGAGTTAAAAAATCCGATTGTACATCATGCAGGGTAGGGACGATACCCGAACCGAGTTACGAGTCCGGGTATCGAATCGGGAAAACAGGAAAGGAGAGATTCGAAAGAGAAACGAAAAGCAAAATTTCTTCGTGCATCGGCATGCCATTCATAGGAGACGTTCGGTAGTGGTGGTTCGATATCGCAGACTCGACAGCAGCTCGACGGTTCTCCGGAAGGGGGAGTAGTAGTAGTAGTAGTAGTAGTAATAGTAATAGTAGTAGTAATAGTAGTAGTAGTAGTAGTAGGGAGTTTGTTACCGAGTTGTGGATTCCAAGGATCTTTTCGGATAGTCAGGGATGAAAAAATGATGGGCGGGGAAAGGATATCGATGAGACCGAAGGGGATCGATAAACAAACGAAGGCATGCTCTAAACATGTGCAAACGATAGGTAGAACTAAATTTTAACTAAAGACAAAAGAGCCTTATATATCAGAGATATAGAAATATATTATATATGTATATATACATATATATATGATATGTAAAATATTTGTATTTATACATATATATATATACATATGTATGTATATATATATGGCGAAAAGCAAGGAAGAAACGTTTCGCGAAATTTTCGCCATTTTCGTACGCGATAGCTTTTTTTTTTTTTTTTTTTTTCTTTTCTTTTCTTTTTATGTATATACATATATACATACACATATGTATATATACACACGTAAGCGTTTCATCGGCAAGCTGCCGCCCTCGTTCACGGGCGTTACTTCCCCGTCCGATATAAGAGCGTACGTCGTTGGAGAATCGAGATTCGAGGGAGAACAAATATAGGTTGAATTTTCCTTTTCGGAACGGTAAAAATAACGCCGTGAAGGGCTAGTGAGGACGATTAGCTTGGCCTCTATCTTCGTAACACGTGGCAAGAGTGAGTCAACGAACTAAAGAGAGAAACGAAACATCTTTACGTGACGTAATAATCACGGTTATACCACCAGAAAGAACATTAAGTGTTATGAATACATAACATGAGACAATCGGTATGTTACGTTAGTGCGAATAAATCTTAAAAACTAGCTGTTCAAAACCTGGATCATCCTCCTGCAAATGCTTTAAGGAAAGACAAAAACACGTGAATCAGTATATATATTATTAAGTATTAATTAACGTGTTAATATGGGGTGTCCAAGTTTCAAAAGTTAGGGGGCTTAGGGGAGGGGGGAAAAAACCAACGGCAACAACGTGTAAAGGTAGAGTTGCGATTAGGCCCTGTAAAAAATATATGTAAGAAAATACGTTTCCTCGTGCGTATCTTTTTTTTTTCTTTCTTTCTTTCTTTCTTTTTTCTTTTTTTGCCTTTTTTCTTTTTTTTCTTTTCTTTTTTTTTCATTTCTTTTTTTCTTTTTCTTTCTTTTTTTTCTTTTTTTTTCTTTCTTTTTTTTTTTTTTTNTTTTTTTTTTTCGTTTTTTTTCGTTTTTTTGTACGGCAAATACACAGTAGCTGAGCTCAAAAATTGGTTATCAGCTTCTGAAAAATCCGTGGCTGCGTGCACCACCTGGAAAAAAGGTCTGGGGCACTCCAGTGGGGAAAATTTCGGGGCTTTATAGGAGTATAGAATAAATTCATGGAAGATCGTTGTAATCGCAAAAATTCCAAAAATATAAAATCTCGCCAGCCAAAAAATTAGGGCCAACATGATTTCGCGTCTCGTCACGCAAGTGCCGCGTCCCGCGTCCAAAAAGGAGATTCTCAAAAAGCAAAGGGGCCGGGGAAGGAGGAGGAGGGAGATGGGGACGAGGGAGGGGGAGGGAAAGGACACACATACACGCACACACAGGAGTCGGGAAGATGGCGGGGCAGAGAAGCGAATAGGAAGAGTGGTGTTGACGATGGGTTTGAAAGGTCGTTCAGCTTTAAAAGGAGAAGAAACTTGAAAAAATTGACGTGCGCGCGTTCAAAAAACTTACGTTCGCGCGACAAAAAAATATCGTATCGTTTACACGTTTTGATTTGGAACGGAAAAAAAGGGCCGCGTGTTCGTCCTGGTATCTTCTCTTGTTGCCACGACAAGGCTGAGTCGACAGTTCGTTTCTCGAAAGCGTAACTGAAACGCAAAAGTGGCCTGAGAGGAGAAGCTTTATACGTATTATACAATACAATACAATATAATATGATATTATATGATACAATAATAATAATAATAATAATAATAATAATAATAATAACAATAATAATAATAATAATAATGACAACGTAACGTAAAATGATATAATGATATAATTCAATGGAATCGAACGAAACGAAAAAAAAAAAAAAAAAAAAATACAACGATAATATTCAATCTAAAACGGAAACACAGGAAAACGTTATCGGATAAAAGAATATCGGAACCGAAATAAAAAAGAGAGAGAGAGAGAGAGAGTGAGAAAGAAGAGAGAGAGAGAATGTGAGAGAATGAAGAGATACGAGAGAGAGAGAGAGAAAGAAAGAGTGCGAGAGATAATCAAAAAAGAGAAAAGGAATCGGTACAAAGTCGGTTTTGAATTGGGGAAGAGAATAATAATAATAATAATAATAATACGATATCGGCGGAATCTGAAATCTGAAGATATTAACGTTTAATTACACAGATTTATTATACATACATAGATGCAGACGGTCGAAGGATAGAGCGAATCGTATCATCGAGTTGAGAATCGGGATATATTGCGATCGCAACCGGCACTGGAATCACGCGGTATCACCGTTCGGACTGACTCTTTTGGCGGGCTTTTATATTTTTGGCTCTTGCGCGATGAACGTTCTGTCGCGATACATCGCCTTCGCAAAAGTATCAAATAGTATGGTATGCGAGGCGTGGCGGTCGAAATCCTCATCTTCCTCCCCCCATATAAAATTTGACGAGAAGGAGGATCATCTCACTCGTCATTCATTTCTCTCGTCCCTTCCTTTATTCGCGAATTCGAATCGATTCGTGATTCGAAACGAAGCGAGAATAAAATTTCGACCGCGCGACTCCTCTTCGAACGCCACGCCTCCGCCAAACCTCCTTGGTTCGAGTAAACGTTAGAGAAAAAAAATATGACTGAGCGTCAATGATACATACCGTCCTCGTGAGTTCTGACAGAGATAGGATAACTCGGAGGTCCGTCACCTACGCTGGTCCCGGCCAATACCCAAATCCGATACTCGGTCCACTTTTTCAGTTCGTCCAACACGAATTGCGTGTCATTCAGTTTGATAACTTTCGCCTCCGAGTCGGAGCGTCCGCTCTCGACCACTTGCAGCTTGTAGTACGCGATCCTTCCGTTCGATCGATCGGCAGGCGGTGGTTCCCATGTTACCCGTATGGAGGTCGGGCTGACCGCTTCTCCGCTTACATTGCGAGGCGGAGCCCCGGGGACTGTATAACACTCAGTTGTAGGGGAGGGAGAGAGGGAGAGAGACAGAGAGACAGAGAGAGAGACAGAGAGAGACAGAGAGAGACAGAGAGAGAGAGAGAGACAGAGAGAGAAAAATAGAAAAAAAAAACGAAAACGTGGTAGGGAAATATCGTCGACCATCGTTATCGGTCATAGAACGATCGCGGCTAATTACGAGCTCGAGCCTCGAATCGAGTCACGCCCGAGATTCCTTCCAACTCGAGACGTTGGATATATATATATATATGGATAGATAGATAGATATCGGGAAATCGTATCCCGTGGAAATTGAGGAACGAGTATTCGCGACCTCGATTCGATCAACTCGACTCGGCTTCGAAATCGAGACGCGTTCGAACTTGACCAATAGGATAGGACGAGAGGGATCGGAAAACTTAAAGGTTCAAAGAGAGAAAGAGAAAGAGAGAGAAAGAGAGAGAAAGAAAGAGAGAGAGAGAGAGAGAGAGGTACGAATCAATCTCAAGGAAAAACTCACGAGTCGATCCTTGAACAGTCGAAAAATTACGTGATTAGAGAAATTTCCCGATCCGTTAACTCGCGCGTAAATACGCGTTGAGTTAACGTGGTGCCTCGATCGAGAGACAAGGAGACAAGAGACAATTAAAAAAAAAAAAAGAAAAACTGAAGAACGGACGTAAAACCATACGTTATCAAGTAGAATGAAAAGAGGTGCCCAAAATGCACACATATATCGATGCAGTGCTTAGTGCAATTTATATGTATGATATGTACGTATATATATAGATAGATATATATATATATATATATATATAAAGTGGCATCCAAAAACGGCTGTCTTATTTGCAACGCATGCAATCATTCTCACTCTCCCACACTTCACGATTTCAACGATACTCTCTATCTTCCGTCTTCTCTTTTCTCATTTTTTTTTTCCCCTTCTTCCCCCCCCCCACCCACCCACCCACCCACCCATCCACAAACGTATAATCCAACGAATAACGCGAATCAACGAATCATCTCTGAATATCGGAATATATATGCGAATTAATTTAGCTTACGCTACTTGCGGGAGCGTCTCTAATTCTACAGCACCTCCTACCTGCCGTGCCAAAACGATTCGCGATTGAGTTGATGCATCGACTATCGCGTATCTATCGATCGTGCGTATCATCGATCGAGCGTACGGAAAAATATCAATTTTCCTCCCACTCTTACTCGCGAACAATCGCGAATCGATTTTTAATCGGCACTCCTCGCTGCGTGAATTCACTCTTATTTCTTTTTTTTTTTTTTCTCCTTTTTTTTTCTTTCTTTTCCTCCACCTTTCTTTTCGCTTTTCTCGCTCGTTCGTTTGGTTATCTGCTTACCGTACTGCTTCGTGCGAACCGGATACGGTATCGTCGTAGCTCCTTCTCCCCGTTGACTCCGGGCGGCCAGCCAAACGTAATACAGGGTGTTCGGATAGAGGCCCGTCAACGTGTAGTTCTCGGTAACCGGTATCCTGCGATGGTGCTTCTCCTGAAATCGATCGCGATCCCGACGATCGTTCGCAACGACGGACGCGTATATATAAGCGTGATTGCAATCTTTTGGGGAAGAGAGAGAGAGAGAGAGAGAGAGAAAGGAGAATGGGGGAAGGGGGAAAAAAAAAAAGAAGAGAAAAGAAAGGAGCGTTCACCCACCTGAGCGTAAGTATCGTTCCAATACAATTCATAGCTGAGAATATTTTCCGCGCTATGAATAGGTTTATTCCACTGGAGGGTTACCGTGGTCTCCCCGATATCTATCGCGGTCAACATCTCCGGTTGGCTCGGTACCCCTTGTTGCGTCTTAATCTGGACAGGTGTGCTCAATGGACCGGGACCGACGCTGGTCAACGCCTGCACTCGTATCGTGTATATGGTGTGGGTGTCGAGATCCGAGATGGTGGTCAGTTGATTGTTGTCCACCATCTGGTACTTCCAGGAGGCCATCGGTTGATTCGGATCCGTCGTGTAATATATCTTGTAACCCTGCGTAAGCAAAGCGAAGAAGAGGAGAAAGAGGATTTTTGGAATCGGGTTAACGGACGAAGAGAGCGTTCGTTGCGAACGAAAACTAACCGTCACTTGTCCGTTCGGTGTCTCTGGCTCGACCCATTGTATGACCATCGTGCTCGAGCTCAATGGCCGGGCCTGAACCTTCCGCGGTGCGGTACCCGGTTCTAGAAACGAACGAATTATCTTTCGACTTTTTTCCTCGGAATCGGAGCGTGCTTTTCTACATGGACGAGTCAATCAATAGTTAGTCACCGGAGAGTTGTAAGTAGTACACCCTTCGAGAGAGAAATACACCGTAATAAAGAACCGAAAAAAAAAAAAGAAAAAAAGGAAAAATAAAAAATTCCAGGTATATAAAAAAGAAAAGAAATAGAGAGAAAAGGAGAAAAAGAAAAAAAAATATCAAATTATCCTCTACGATTACATTCGGGATATCGTGATTAAATTGTGCAATTTACCGAAAAGAATAAAATTCAACGAGAAGAATAAGGAAACAGCGTGTCTATCTTTGCGTTGCGATTGATTAGCTCGTTTCGATAGGTGTGCAAAACGGAGTAACGTACATGTGCGTGTGCTTCGAATGAACAAAAACACAAAGAATTGAGAGAGAAAGAGAGAGAAACAAAAATAAGAAAAAAATGAAAAATCAAAACGAGAGA